ACAGAAGAGGTCCAAAGCAGGTTCCTGAGGGAGCGGCCCTCCCCTCTTATCTGGCCTATATAACCAAAAGGTGGGGTAACAGAGCAGGAAAGGAGCCTTCCTGGGGTCTGGGGGTGCAGGCAGAAACAGAGCCGTCCAGGTGGTACCTCTCAACAACTCCTTGTGGGAGGAAGGATTCCCTGGAGGCAGGTGACCTTGGTGGCAGGTGAGGAGGAGGGAAAGTGTCCTCAGGATTCAGCATTGTCTCTCCTTTTGAATCAGCCCCCATCTTCCTGGCCCACGCGTTCCTTACCACTGACTTTCCTTTTGCCCCAGTCGTAACACCTCACTACAGGAGTGTGGGCCTCTGTTGGAATGTGGAAGAGGATGGTGGTGCTGGGTCCTGAGTTAAGGGCTCTTAGTTTCTCCACTCTCGTCTTTTCCCTCTCCCACTGCTGCTCATCTTTAGCTTCCTGTCCAGGCTGACAGTGTGCCAGGACTCCTTCTCTATGATACACTACCTTTTGTACCAGTGACATTAAAAGCATTTAATATCATATAGGTATGTATGCCAAAGGTAGGTAAGGTAGGTATGCCAAAAGATTGGTTATTAACAACCAAGGTTTGCATAGAGCTTCCTTATAAGAACATGGAATCCACATGCATCACCCTCAAAGGATTCCCTAAACAGGAATAGTTGCTATGGGTTTCTCTCTAGATGCCCTTGGTTTCTGATGCCCTTGGGTTTCCTGTCCAGTGACCGTGAGTCTCCATTCATGAACATCTGTCTACTGAGGCAAGGTACCTCCTGGGAGGCTGGGGCAGATCCAGCCACCAGGGTGGATCCTGATTAGCTTCAGACGGTGCTGATCCCTCTCTGGCCTTTGGTTGCTTGGGAAATGAGATTATGACACAATTCTGACTGACAACAAAGAGGGTTTTCCAAAAGTAGAGGAGGAAGCAGTGGTTCTGGGACTGAAGGAAGTGCTGGGAAGAGGTCGCCTCCTCTGGGCTTTGGCTCTGCTTTGAGGACTAGTCACACAAAAACTAAACTATTTTGCACTTTGAAAGTCCCTGATTCTGTGTAGATATTTATATATGCATATTTAAAATTAATCAACAGACCCTTCTGGATATTTGCTGGTGGTATTTTGGCATAGTCTTCATATCTTACTGAATGATAAATTGTAGCTGGGATCCATCACCCAAGTTTTAGGTAATGAAGAATCTGGATTGTTTATTATATTAAAATATAGGCATTCTTCAGGATATGTACCCCCTGCAACCTATTTCTTACCTCATACTCTAGACACCACATGTGACACACAATCAAGTGTAATGTTTGTGAAAAGAATGGTGAATCCTATAGGCTAAAGACCAGCATCCATTCCTTAAGTTCCACTGAAAGGTGTAGGTTAATCGATAGGGTCAAGTGTAGAGATTTATTTTTAAGATCACAATGGATGATTCTTACTGACTTCAGAGTCAAATAATTGACCAATAACCAAAAGGATTTATGCTAAGTGATCTTAGAAATATTTTGTTTAATGTAAAATCTTGCTTTTACTTAATCCTCAACATGCTTTCTTGCTAAGAGATTTTAGTTTTAAAGGTCACCCCAAGAATTTCATGTTCGTATCTCCAGTCAGTCATTTTGCTTTATCATTCCAGCACTCTTCAATTAGAAGGTGGAATCAGGTTAGCAAGACAACATCATTTCTGTTCACACTTCTCTCGTCTTTTCCTAGAAATTAACAGTCTCCAAGGGTTAACGAGCTCCGTGAATCTTATCATCACAAATTGCTCTTGACTGCTCAATAAGTGTACATATATGTTTGATTTCATTTTCAATCATTTGTTGATTTCAACTGTAGAGACAGTATTTGTTTATATAAAACTTTTCTAATATACAACATTTCCCATAATGAAGAATTACAACTGGATGCTCTCCTTTCACCAAAAAAAGGGAAAAACAACACCAGTCCTAGTTTATGTTCTCTCCAGGGCCATCTCCTACTGTGGTTCCTCCAAGACTTCCTTTATGGATGGGAATTGGAAATGTTTTAACTCCCTGTGCCACAAATTTTTCAAAGTTGAAAAAGAAATTTATTTTATATGATAATTATGAATATTAAATGATGCAACTAAAGTAGAAATATCTGATACTAAAGATGTGTTCTTCAAAATATTGTCTGCTTACAGGGCCCCTGCCAACTGTTCTCATGATTCGCAGCAACAGGGTAAGGAATTTCGGCCATCACCAAGCATGGTATTGAGCTCCAACTTGCTGCTTTGGGGAAGACTCCTGAGGCAGGGTGGGGGACTGGTCTCCAGTGAGCTCCTTACTCCCCAACACTTGGAGTGATACTTTTTTGAAGGAAAAACACAGAAACCAAAATTTCGGAGCAATGGTTTCATGTATGGAGTCTTTAAACAATTAAACACTTAGGCACAAATTTAATTAAATGTGAGGATATATATGCTAACAGCAGCTTGGAGGGATCAAAGAAGCTCTACATAAGTGGAAAGAGATACCATGTTCATGAATGAGAGTTCCAAACAGTTAAGTGTCAATTTTACCCAAATTTCTCTATAACTTTTAATTCAATTTATATAGGGAAAATACAGGATAAAATTTTCTATTAGATAAGTGATTTGAAAATGTATTCTCCCAATGTGTAGCTTGTCTTTTTGATTTCTTAACAATGGTATTTAAAAAATTGAATTTCTAAGTTTCTGCTCACACTTCTGTCTAACCTTTTGGTAAAGTCTAATTTATCTTTCTAAAAATGTTATGATTTCTGTATTATATCTGAGAATGTCTATCTGAGTTGCCAAGAAGTGGAGAAGTTGTAAAAGTCATTTAATTAAAGAAGGTGTAAGGATTAAAGTACATACATGGCAGAGAGGCTTCACATTATCGGCCACAGTGGGACATAAACATCCAACCTTAGTTAAGTGCCTTCCATTTGTTGCTGAACTCTCATCTTTGTTGGCCAGTTGCCTCATTTGATGATCCATTTTTGCAGAATGTCACAGGGGTTCAATATTGGGAGACAAGGAAGCAACATGACCACCCACCTTTCTGTCTGTGCATGAGCTGAATTTGGTAAATGCTCTTTGGACTGAGGAGCTGTCAATGGAGCTTCTACTTATGCAAATACGATCTGTTCACATAATGTATCATGGGTCTGAGAGGGATCTATGGAATAATTGAATGTATATACGATTTCTAAACAATGAGATTGCTCTACCCATCAATGACTACTGTCATGATTCCATCCGCTGTGCCCCAAATTCACCTTGCTGCTGTTTCAGGGCTTCACACTGTTATTCAAAAGAAAAAGAGGACAAGCTAACTTTTATTTTGCTTTTTTGTAATTTAGATTTCTTTTTTTTTCCTTGTAAAAAAATCTGTCTGTAATTTAATTATGTAAACTAGTGAAATAAATCCCCATGCCTCATTAATTTCTCATTTGACACTAATTCATTTGTTAATTCCATTGCTATTACCATCTCTGTCCCTAATATCTCCACCAGTATGTTTCCTAACCTGGCCTGAACCCTGCCCTGAGCTTCACTTGTCACAGCTGCCCACTGCTGCTTTGTGGGTGTCCTTCCTTGGTGCATGTCTGCAGTTCCTTCACAGGTAGCTAGAAACTGGTGGAAGCTATGTGCCTGGCCCCGTATGCTGTAAATACAATAGTATACTTATGGAATTTTATGAAATTACAATTTTAATGAATTTTTTAAAACAATCATATAATTTGGGTGTGAGACCCAATACTACACACAAAATAATAATATGACTTGGAATTTCATTAGAAGAAGTAATTGGCTAAGATACCTTAATGAGTCCCAGGTCTTGCATAATATCACAACCTTCCCACTTGTGGATGCAATGCTTTGACATTTTTTAAGTATATGCTTTTCTCTAATGTTGTTTCCTAATTGAGCATTCATTCAAATGAATGCTTAGAACTATTTAAGAATATTCTAGCTTTACATGTGTCATGACCTTCCTCTCCCCAAACCAGGTCTTACCTCTTGTGGGGAAAGTGAGGTGGGTACAGTGAGACCTATTGCTCATGTTTGGTACAAAGTTCACTTTGGCCCATGGCAGGAATAAGGCAGTGGCAACTTAAGCCACTGAGATGCACTGGGACCACATTGCCATGTGCGTCGTCTTCGGAATTCAGCAAAAGGATTAAAGTGGCCCTCCCTGGCATAGGGAGGGAAGTCACTCCTGAACTCAGGCTAGACCACAGAGAAGGACCCTCACAAGGCCTCCGGGCCCCGGAACCTGCTCCTTGCCTTCACTTTCCTGGTCCGCCAACTCCTGAGGCAATTTTGGCAAATTCCTCCTAATCCTGCCAGGTTGACCTGAAACTGTTTCCCTGTTCCCAAACCACGGCATTAGAACATGCTGAATAAGCAAGATTGCTCTCCCTGGAGGAGGAGAGTCTTACCATCTTGCTTCTGCTTCCTTCTCAGCCACTTCCGGCACTCCTGCGCTGGGTTTCCAGAGACAGGGAGGCTTATCTAAGGTCCATACACAGTTTACAACACTGGCACCTGGATGCCCGCAGCACAAGGTGTGTTGGCAATCAGATGATTTAAGAAGGCAGAGAAGCAGGGAGTCAAATTCAAACCAAATCCACTCGTGCCTTTCATCTTCCAGACACATCTGAACCTAATCATACCTCCATCTGCTTTCCCTGCATTCAGGAAGAACATGGAGTTGTATCTGAACCTTTTCCAGATAATCACAGGTACACATCATGGTAGAATTTTTTTAAAAAAATATGACTTCTGTTGACATAACTCAAACAAGAAAACGTGATTGCACATGTCACTGAGAACAAGATATTTCAACTTTGTAACATGAGAAAAGCAGAGGTTTCTGTTTCCATCATTAAGCATTTAAAAACCAAAGAATTCTTAGTAAAAAATCCATAATTCCTTTTTATGACTTTAAAGAAGAAGGGAAGTATATTAGAAAAAATATTCATTGCAGGATGGAAGTCAAGAAATGTAGATTCTTGGGCCACTTCTTCCCATAACTCTGAGATCTGCTTACCCATGTGAATTTTACCTGGCATATCAGCATGACTGTCTTGCTGCTGTGGTCTGTGTTTAGTGAGGTGAGCCCGTTCCCTGCCAGGTACGAGCAGCCACCCAGCCAGCTGCACACACAGAGGACACAGAGTGGTGGTCATGAGGCCTTGGACAGGAGCAACAGCATGCTGGAGCAGATCAGAGCAGGAAACAATCTCCTCTTCCAGAGAAGGAGTGGGGCAAGTGTTACAGGAAAGATGTTGAGAAAGCAGAGTGTTAGACTGCTCAATCTCAGATGTTTGTTTCAACTCTAAAATGCACTTCTGTGGACTCTTAGAAAAATCTTAAATCAAGACTGTCAAATAGCTGTGTGAAATGAGATACTTGGTCTTTGACTAAGAACGTCATTCTTCACAGCTCAACTGCACACACTTGCAAAGCATTTTGTCTGTTGAAAACAGAGACTGTCATCTCAAAAATATTTTCACTTGCTCACAATCCCCAAGCACAATAGGCCAAAATAATTAATTTCCATTTTCCCAAACAGTGAGAAGAGCCACACACACACACACACACCACAGAGGCACAAAGTGTTGGGGCTCAAGGGTGGCCCTGGAGTTCACTTGCACAAAGGGGTCCCTTTGCTTATTGGCTAAAGAACACAAGGAGAGACTTCATGCAATTTTACTCTTAGGGAATCTTCACCGTGCCAGATTCTGAGAGTTCATTAAGGTTTTCTCTGCTTTCATGAAGCTATAAGCTGTACTTTCACACATGCCTAATGAAAACACCTTCAACATTAGCACAGAGGAAAAAACATGACAGGGGACGCGGGATTAACTGTAACCCTCCGTGGCATATCCAACTCCAGCAGATCAGATGCTTCTAATGTTAGTTAAGTGGTGGGATGTTGGAAACGGGAAGGGCAAGCCATGGGCGGGGTGAGCCACTGCGAGAACTCAGAGCAAGCTCGCAGGAGTGCTGACAGGTACAACTACCCTGCACAGCAAGTAGCCTTAAGAATCTGGTTAAACCACAGAGAGAAAATTTAAAATGCACTCTATGAAAGGATAATTATTAATAGTATAACACCACAATGTCTTTCATTCTGACCTATGAATCTTAAAATTATGTTAATTTTTAACCACAATTCTAAGCAACGACAATTCTATGTAAGAGCGCTGTAAAAACAAACCAACAGAAAAACAGTTGACTGAGTCTAACTTGTGCCTTAAATGGAGAAGCAGCCACGCGGACTCTGAGTGCTTAGCCCACCACCTCCAGCCCTGCTGAGCGTGTGCATGAGGATATTTTCATAAGTGGTCTTCAATGTGCCCAAGCTCTGTCCACTACTAACATTACGTGGCTTTTACTCCGCTGGATACACCCCACCGGGACTGTTCTCGGGTTATTGTCTGGCTGTGGAGACCACCCACATGTGAGGGCTCCTGTCATCCACACCATGGACTCCTGTCCCTCGATCCATGGGCTCCTGCCATCCACATCATGGCTCCTGTCACCCACCCCATGAGTTCCTGCCACCCACCCCATGGGCTCCTGCCACCTACCCCATGGGCTCCTGCCATCCACACCATGGGCTCCTGCCACCCACCCCATGGGCTCCTGCCAC